AGAAGCAACAGGTCCTAGCGCTAGGACTCTGACCATCAGAAAGTCCTCCTCTGTTGATCCTGCTCCCTATTTCGAAGCTGCTAAGAAGAAGAAACTTGCTGCTGGAACCCAACGACATCCACCTCCACCTCCCAGAGGCTCCAAGAAAAACTCATCCAACTTCTCCTTTAATGATTAGATGAAAAGTGGGATGTCAAGACCTGACAGAGCTCAGTTTGAGCAAATGAAGAAGCTGATGACCCCACTGCAGCAGGAAAATCTCTTCATGGATAGTGATGGACTCGTTCAGATCAACCATGGAGGATCCATTCAAGAAGCATATGTCTGGTAGCAAATGAAGGTCATACCAGGCAAGAACATATCAGAAGTTGTAAGGAACTATCTGGATTGCAAATTTGAGCATCACTGGTCAGAATACCAGAATCCGAGGAATCTAGCCTCCATGAGAGCCAAAATCAATGCAGAACTGAGAATGATTGATGAAGCATGACCACAGGTAGAAGAAGAAGATTTTTAATTCTTTCTCTGTATTTTTATATACTCTATGATAATAAGATACCTTCTCTGCCTCTATTTTTCATGGCACTATCAACTATATGTTCTTTAATTGCTTTCTGTGTTTGTGTTCAGTTTGTGCTCTGATACTTTATTTATTGCTTGATTGTACCGTACTCTTACTACTCTACTATGCTAAGTTGCCCACCACTATTTTTTAATGAAAGTTTTTTAAAATTTATTTTTTTGGTGAAAGGCACTTCTCTGGAAATAGTTAAAGGGTTTTGGCATCATCAAAAAGGGGGAAATTGTAAGGAATAAATGTATTTAGATTTTAATGATGCTAGGTTAATTAGAATTTTAAAGTACTCCATTAGCAATTTTGTATTAGAAATTTTCTTTGTAAGTATTAGCATAGTCGGCTGGCCAGAGACCCTCCTGGACTTTCTGATCAGAGTTGCTCATCAGAGTTGCTATCAGAGTTGTTCCCAGAGTTGCTCATCAGAGAAGCCACCAGAGTTGGCATCAGAGGCGGTCATCAGAATCTCAACCAGAGAGCCTCATCAGACTTGCTTATACTTAGCAGAATTCGAAGGCACTTCCAACGGCCGTGAAACTAACGGGAAATTCCCTAACGGCTAGGAGTCATTCGACGGAAACATGGTACTGTACACGCATTAAATGCTCAATTAATGTGGTACGTACGAAGAGATATTTAAAGCTGATGATTGACCATACGGGTATCCTTTTGCCCCCAAAATAACAAGTCGAAGGACCAACCGGTCAAATCAACAATACAAGCATTTAATGAAGTTGTCTTCTACACTCCAACGGGAAGACTGCTCCCAGTATATAAGATACACTTCGAAGAACTACATGATAACTTTTGCTGAAACTTTGCTAAGCTTTTGCTCTCTACAACCTTCAATCTTTCTTGAGATTTCAAGTTCACTCACTTCAACAAGCAAAGCATACGTTGGAAAGATATCAACTTCATATCCCTTCTTCCAACAAGAGCGAAGTTCTAGTAGTTCTTCAACACTTCGAAAGCCTCAACTACACATCCTTTGTGAAGAAACTACATTGGAGAAAACTAATTTTCAATCAAATACTTCTTCAAAAAGAAGGGAAGTCTCAAACTAGCTGGAGTAAGTGAAGTGGCGATACTTCCAAGAGACTCAGTGAAACGAGACCAGCCATGAGGAAGCAAGGACTACATCCCGGGTGACAACTAGGCTTGAAGAAGACGTGGAGTGCTTCTTAAGTGCTAGGGACTAAGGCGTTGTAATTGTTGTCTTACAAGCTTAGTGGAACAGTGGACTAGAGGAACATGTTGTTCCTTGAACCACTATAAAAACCCCGGTGTCACTTACTTTACGCATTTATTTATGCACTTAAGATTCTAACTGTTTAACTCAATAGGTTGGACTCTGTGTACAGCAGATCTTCCTTAAGAGTTATCAGAAAGGTATTTGCCTTAGTGTTTTTCTGAGGCTACCCGGACAGAACCTATCCGCTGCCAGGTCCAGTTCTGCCATCAGAACTCGACCTTCTCTGTCACTAGAACCAGACCTTCTCTGGTAAGTCAGAGTTGACTCAAAGAAAAGTTTGAAAATCCTGAATAGTCTATTCACCTCCCTTCTAGACTGTTCCCATTATAAACGGGACCAACAAGAACCAAAGAAATGGACATCAGAACCTTTCTGCCATCAGAACTTGTAAATTTTTTATTGCAATGCTTACATATCCGAACCTTGGAACCCCCTTCATTTTAGAGGGTGGAGCTCTAATAAAGGTTACTTCTTCTAATAAAGGTTTGTCATCTCTGTCTTGTCTTCTGTATCAACTGGAGTAGGAGCAGTTTCTATTATTTCTTCATCACTTAGGGTCAAATCTGTCATATCATCGAACTGTGTTTCTAGCAATCTACGCTTGCCAAATACCATTTTGAAGAAAATAGAGAGCAGAGAACAGAGAGTACAGAGGTGTGCAGAGGCTAGTAGAGAACAGAGAGTAGAGAGGTGTGCAGAGAGTGTGATACGCTGAGGCCTTTAAATAGGTGTGATTGCTTCAAATTTTACCATTCCAATACAAATGAATAGTCGTCATACCTGTGAAGCTCGTCAGTCGCCGATGCTTGGCGTTTGAAAAATCAATTCGAAAATCAGTCGTCGATGCTTGAACTTCGTACCTTAAGAGTTGCCGCTTCGTTGGACGCTGGATGGAACGGCGAACAGCACAATGGATTCTGCGTACCCGCTGGAAGAAGCACGCAATCTGCGACGATGATACGCCGTACCCGAAACGTGTTTCGCAACCGTACCGGTCGCGAACGTATCGCGATCCGGTACGCGCGATCCGGAACGTAAGTCGCGGGCATATATGTGATCCCTGTACCTGTGTTGCTACCAGAGAACCTCGTCAGAATTGCCCTACACTTAGACAAATCCAAGTTGTGCTACTTGAGCCGGTTACACTAACGGGAAATTCTCTAACGGCTCGAAACCTCTCAACGGAAAAGCTACAGGACGCGCATTTAATGCTCATTTAATGTGTTCCACACGTTGAGATATTTAAAGTTGATGATTGACCAAGGATTCAGGAGGATAATATTTAATACGTCCCAAGATAGTAAGACGACCACTTTACTGGATCCAACCGGTCAAATCAAAGGTACAAGCATTTAATCCTTATAGTACATCCTTTTGTCCTTCCTTTGATCCTTTTGGCTCAGAAACTCGTGTATATGCTATGTCAGGAAGTAAAGTTCATACTGGCAAGGATGCACAATCATCAATTGCTACCTCAATAGATATATTGGGAAGAGAGAAGAATGCTGCAGCTTTCTTGTCCAATGTATCTGTTGATGATTCCAGAAGACAAAGAGTTCCAACGGTTCACGCTGGTAGTTCAAGTTTTAAGCCTGGGGGTATGAAGGGTTGTCTTCATGATGGAGTTAATTTTGAAGAAGCTGGGATACACTTGGAGGGCAATGACGTAGTCTGGCCACCATGGAGAATTAAAAGTGTTTCAGGACATCAATTAACACATCCTCTGACTGGTGCATTAGTGCAAGACCACTTAATTGCAACGTCTCAGACAATTCGTGAGCAGGAGCACCCAGATACTTCAATTCCTCTACAACCATTTGAAATGCTGAAGAGTCCTTTAGAAAATGGATCTCTCGGTTTGATCCACATCAATACTCATGAAGAAGTCAACACATTCTATAAACAGTTTGATGGTTGTGATATCTCATCTGAGGTGAAAATCACGTACCCAGTTTTGTCACTTGGGTTGGCTATCGTATCGGAGGTGAAGAGCTTGGAGAGCATTAGTACTAGTGCAGCTACAACAGCTCTAGACTCTTCCACTAACTCTTTGAGTGTTGCTATTGGGAAAGAATCTGGCCAAGTTCCCTATTACATGATTGGCAGCAGCTCTGGCTCAGAGAAAACAAGATTGCAATTGATCACTGAACCCAACACTGAAGTTTCCCTTTTCCCAAGTGGTGTTGGGTATCAATGCACAGCTCTCTCTTCGCTTGTCAGTTCCCCAGTATGCATCTGGCAGGACATGGCGTCAGGATCCCAATGGGTTATGGGGTTTGAAAGTCGCCAGGTTGCTATACTTGATATTGGTTCACCCTCAGTTTTATTTCTAATGTACAGTCCCTCTAGCTCAAGATCTCTGGTCTTTTCTGCTAAGGCATCTTTGGGTGTTCATCAAAACACTATAAAACCGAAAGGTAGAATCTCATATGAAACTAAGGAAGAACTTGCTTTGTGCTTACCCAGAGATGGACACATTATTTTAATGACTAGCAGCATTGGCAGTTTGATCCATTCGCAGCCAGTGCATCCAGAAAATGATGTTGAAAGAAAAGATCAAACAGCACCTGAGGAACAAAACACTTGCAAAGATCCCAACAATCAGAGTGTTCTCCAGGCAAGCAAGCTCATGGTTCCACCATCAGTTAGGTACCAGGAAGGAAGAGGTGCTCGGATGAAGATGAAGTTGAAGGTCAAGGCTCTTACTCCGCACCTTGAGGACAAGGTGGTTGTCAAGGGGGGAGTGATGATAGAGAACTGGACTTGTGGGCTTATGGAGTGAGATATAATAGAAATAATACTGAGTATTTTAATAAAATGTAATAGTGGGCTGGCCCATTAAAAATAGAATAAATAAGTGAGAGTGGTGAGGAGATGAGGAGGAGCACTTTAGATCTGGACTGGGACTTGGGAGTGTTGAGACTACTCGAAGTGTCTCTATCGTTTCTTTTCTTCTTTCCGTTCTCTTTGCACGACAATTTCCATCATCGGCCATTGTAATAGATTATGTACTCCGTTTTCCAGAATTAATATACAGTAATTTGTCTGGTTCCTATCACAATCCAAAGACAGTAAAGTGGGGAAGCTGATAATCAAGGGACTAAATCCACTATTACCCTATAATTGAGGGACCAAAGTGACAATTTACCTAATTTAGAAAAATAGTAAGTGATACCTGAGTGGGGAAGTAACGGATGACATTAGCAGTGTTCCCTCTCCACAGTGAGGCAAACCCTTCATCCTTAATAGTTCGACTGAAACATTCACCAATCCCCTTGTAAGGTTCAGAGAGTCTTCCAGACTTAATCATCTCGTCCTGGTTTTGAATCAAAAGCTTCACTCGCTCGATTGGTGCGGCAGCGGTCTTTGACACAGCAGCTGAAACTCCACCCATGAGGAAATCAATAGCAAAGCTAGCGAATCCCTTTTCAGCAGGAGCCTGAACAAACACTGGAGAAGCATTTGAAGTGATTAATGACAGATCTTGGGTTGTTTTGCATGGCGGAGTCATTGAGTACTGAAATCCATTAGTGCTGTGGTTTCCATAGGCTAAACGCCTCTGGTTGAGAAGAGGGCTTTGCATGCCATCACAAAGGGCTTGACAATCTTGATAAGTATTTGAGCTAAAATGGAGCTGGTAAGCTAGCTTCTGGTAAACAGTGGGATATTGATGCATTTCAGCCATTCTTTTTCAACTCAATATCCTGCAAAGATGCATGGGTTAATAACTCGAAAATAGATGTGTAGTTTTTTAATAAAAGGCCAGCACATAGTTGGGAAAACAGCTTTGAAAAAATGATCAAATACAATGTTTTGATTACATGAATACGTAAAACTACATGAAAAGTAATGCATGTTCAACAACCAACAAGCATAACAAACCTATAATTGGATGCCAAATACTTCATAGTGAGACACATTACATAAAAAATGAATAGTTCAAATGATCAGTCAACTTGAAGTGAATGTTGAAAATCAAACTGAGCAGATATGTATAAGTGTCACATAGAACTGAAGAAACGAAAAGAAAGGACATATACAAAACAGAAATGAACCGATATCATTTCTGGAATACTGAAACCCCAAATCGAACTATGCAAACTACAAGAACGAAGCGTGATATTAGTTTATGTCTTTAGTTTTATGTCTACATTAAGGAATGACAATTCTGCTAGATATTATGTGGTTAGAAGGATCTACATGGCCATACTAACTGATCCAACCCAGCAGAATCTGATTCGCAGTAGATCTAAAGATCCAATCACATATTTGCCACCGTGAAACGATCGCGTTGAAACGAAGCGTACCTCAATAAGAAGCACATCGGGCTAAAAAAAACACTAAATCCTCATAGATCCAGAAGAAAAAGCAAGCTAAAAAGCGTATAAAAAGACAGTGGGAAGGATCAAACTGGGTACAATGGAAATCCGAATTTGAACGCATACAACTACACATAGCCGATCATATGAAGTTTGAAGAGAGCGGGTGGTCGAAAGGGAAGGATACCTGCGAATCTGCGATGGACTCGCCTTGGTTCTCGTAGAACTGCGAGGGTAGAGATGTTGTTCGACCTAATCCGAATCAGTATATTATACGGAGTACTCCGTAGGTGGCTGCTGCTGCATGTACTGTAGGGTCTGTGCCTCCGTGGCACTTCAATGCCGATTTATATAGTTGTTGTCATGGTTGGTCTTTGTGAGTTTCTTATAACGATCTGGGTCTTAACGACATTAATATAAGCAGTTTGTTTTGATGATAAAAAAAATAGTGATTTGCTCTAAATAATTGAAGGGATGGATTATCTCAAAATAATCTTAATTATGGAATTAAATTTTCAAAATGCTTCAGTCACTTATAATAACCCATAATCGGGAGCGGAGGGAGGGGTGGTCTGGCTGAGCCCTGGCGTAGGGCAATCTTTTTTGTATTATACTCCCTCCGTCCCTTGTAACTTTGTCAAGTTTGACCGACACGAGGATTAATAAAGTAAAAACTGTGTGGTTGAGGTTTGTGCAGAGGAGAGTGAATTAACTGGAACCACCAATTCTTTACTTAAAATGGAAAGTGACAAAATTAGTGGGACATCCAAAAAAGAAAAGTTGACGAAGTTTTAAGGGACGGAGGAAGTATATATTTTTTAATTATTCTTTTGGAATTGATCCTGACGGATAGTGTACTCGGGGGTAGCTTATCCTGAGGGTTACTGCGGGGAGTAACTTAGAGAGAAGTCAGAGCAAACAAGTAAGAGAGATTAAGAATGAGTATTCAAGTTGTATTCAGCGTGGTTTACAATGGGGAAAGGGGTGCTATTTATAGCAGCAATAAATGCTAGATGGGGACACGTGTCAAGCATCCGGCGGCCGAGGGTCACGTCAATCGGGGTGGCACCGGCAATTGCATGTGGCCGCATTAAATGTGGTGGTTGGATGTGACGCTTGTACTTGGTACGGTGATCCAGGCGCATGTGGAGAGGAGATTCTGTCGAGGAAGATGCATTCGGTTGTGGATGAGTCCGAAGGAGATTCTTCACGCCGGGGGCCTCTCAGCGCCGAGGGTTCTAAGTGCCGAAGGCTACTGATTTCACTGTTTTCTCCCAGTAGCTTCGTATGCTTAAAATCAGCTGCACTGTAAGTTTTTGAGCCTTCGGCCGGGGGGGCGAAGGCGTCCAAATGTGCGTCGTGGGCTGCTTGATACTTGGGGTGCTATGATTTGGGCCTTGTTATGCTTCCTGGGCCTGTTGGGCCTTTGTTAGAGTAACAGGAGCCTGTGGGCCGGGGGTCCCTGGGCCATATACTCCATCAGGAGTCCCTTACTCCTTTTGTCGAGAGGTACTTGAGGGAAAATGGGTCATTGTGTTTGTCCTCCGATGCTTCTCCGTTGTAGTTTGTAAGGTGGTGAGGAGTTCTTTGTTTGCACGTTTTGCCGAGGGCAGTCCCTCAGTCCCCCATATTTTGGGACTAAAGGAAAACTTTTAACGTTTTTGTGATTTTCCCGAAGGGGTTCTCCAGTCCCACACTCCTTAAGGCACATGTAACGTGGCGAAAAGGAGTAGAGAGCAATGCCTGTCTTCAGCGTAGGGCCGAGGGCTGACGCTTTTCGTTTCATTTTGGGGGATGCATCGTTAAAAACCTCATTAGAAAAAACCTTGTGGGAAAAAATTTTAATGAGGGAAAAAGAGTGCACCGAGTTCCCCCAATGATGAATCGAAAAGGTTAACTCTTGGTCTGAGCATGGTGTTGAGGCCGAAAGATAGCTTAGTGATATCCTGGTGATGCCGAGGGTTTCCCGGTTCTTGATAAGTTTGAGGCTGAGGGCTCCCGAGGTGTCCCGTTATTCTATGCCGGAGGCTAACCATATGATGGGGGGTTTGAAGGTGTGGCCCCGGGAGGGTCCCCTGGTTCTCAACATGTTGAGGGCTAAGGGTTCCTGGGGGGTTTTCCCGTTGTGAAGCCGGGGTCTCCCCTTGATGAAGGAGTTTGGAGGAGTTAGCTCGAAGGCATGCATAGTGTTGTCTGAGGGGTTCCAGTCGAGGGCACCTCAGGCTTTGAAGGATAGTCGTTGGGGATATGACCGTTGGAATATAGCCGTTGGAGATGGTGTCCACGTGGCGTCCCCTGGTTGGTCGGCCTCGGGCGGGTGTCACCGGTTGGTTGAGGCGGCGGTTTGTAATGATTATTTTGGTGACCGGGGGCCCAGTTTTCGGCCCAAGCCCGGAATTGGGAGTCTATAAATACCCCAAGGCCTGACCTTTTCCTCTTGTGCGATTCTGTTGTCTTAACGAAGCTCTGTCCAATTAATTTCTAGAGAGAGAAAATGTCATGTGATCAAACCTAGCTTCCAAGGTCAGTTCCTCACTTGCTCTCTGCTTCATTAGTAAGTTCCTCTTTGCGGCCTTAGATTCTTTAGTAAATTTCCTTCCTCGGACCCTTCGAACACCTTACCAAGGATGTCGTCTGCGAGCGACTCTCAAGACATCTCGAGGGAGGCCTCGGTAGAGGTGGAAAGTACTTCGGACGTGGAATCCTCTAGTGGACAGCCTTCGATAAGCGGTGATGCCGTCGTTGCCATGGAAGTGCAAAAAGACCTCATCGCTGAAGCCGAGGCAGAGGACTTTGAGCAGATAGAGGAGGACGAGGAGATGGCTGTCGCGATGCAGACTGCCGAAGAAGAGGAGGAGAAGGAAAGGATGCAAGTTATCGTTGCCATCCTCCCTGCACGTAATGCTGGTGAAGCCAGCACCTCTCGGCCTTTAAACCCGACACCTCTCAGGGTGGCCCCAGGGGAGAAGAAGAGGGCCAAGGCTGTGCCAAAGAAGAAGCAAGCAGCTGTAGACGTCGGGCAGCCGGTACGTATCCCAGAGGGCCACTCTTTTTTGAACACTGCTGTCCTGGAGTTGAAGACGAGGGCATCCCCGGCCGAATGTCAGGCCACTCAAATTCTTGCCAGCCCTTTGGCACGTGTGGTGGAACCGGGGCCAGATGATTCGTTACGGTACGCACCCGAGGGCTGCTTCGTCGTCCATACTTTATTAGTGGAGATGGGGCTCCGGTTTCCGCTCCACCCTTTCCTGTTGGAGAACCTGAGGTTCGTGGGGCTGGCCCCCTGTCAGCTAACGCCCAACAACCACTCTTATGTGGCCGGCTTTCTCTCTGTGTGCCGGAGCCGAGGGGTTCCACCTACCCTCGACCAGTTTTTTATGTCCTTCAACCTATGTCGGGGGGGGGGGCATTCGAACGCAGAGGGCTTCGCCAACCTGCAGCAACTCCCGGAGTTCAGGCTGTTTGATGATGTCCCTCCGTCCCACAAGGGATGGAAGGATAAGTTTTGTTACGTCCGCTTGGAGGAGAACCCCTTTTCGGCCCCGCTTCACAATAGCTTTCGGCGGCATCCGAAGGTAGGGGCGCAACCCTCAAGAAGAATGGCAAGAAGCTTGCCAAAAAGCCGGAAGGTTCTGATAAACATGTGTCAATCAAGGAAGCCACGCTCCCGGATGACCTGCACAATCTGGGCTTCCGGCGTTATAGGCTGTTGGGGGAGGAAGATGAAAGATATCCCCCGATAGATCGTGTGTTCGAGAGTGTCCGAGGTGATTACCGAAGGGTCATATATTTTATACTTAGAAATATTTTTTGTAGCTTATCCATGTCGCTATAGTTGATCCCCTTCGGCTTAACCATTTGTCTTGTGTTCTTGCAGGTAACAATATGGATGTCAACTCTCTTTTTGCCCTGAAGAAATAGGAAGGGAAGAAGAAGGACCCCTCGGGTCAGAAGCCGATTGTTACTCTCTTTCAAAAGGGGAGGGAGGAGCCCTCCACAGTTGCTGCCGCCGGTGCTGGGGCCGGGAGCTCCCAGGGCCAGGGGGCGTGAATAACAAGAAAGGTGATAAGGGGGTTGAGCCCCCGGCCAAAAAGCAGAAGGTTGACTCCGGCAAACAACCCGCCACCGATGCCGACATCATTGTGGATGATGTTGTTGTCCCCCCATCGCCCCGGAGGCACGACAATGAGGCCTTCTTCTGCCGGGAGAAGCTAGAGGCAGTCGTGTCGAAGGGGAGCTATGTGCTGGATGCCACCCTTTGTCCCTCGGCGTTAATCAGCCAGATCATGCCTTCGGCTGATAGACTAGCCCTCGCCCGGATGGGTGATGAGGCCCTCAATCAAAAGGTCCTCCAGAATAGTGCCTCCGTAGGTTACTTCCCTTTCTTCGTTTATTTGTTTTTGCGGGGTTGCAACTTATGCAATGCGCTTGACCCTTTATGTCTTTGTTGTTGCAGGATCTCATGGGACTTTGTGAGCAGCTCCGGAGGGTTGGTCAGCTACGGGAAGCCAAGGTTGCTGGAGATGGGGAGATAGTCAGCCTCAGGAGAAAGCTGGCCGAGGCTGAGGATACCCTTCGGTTGACAAACGAAGGCGAGGAGAAGAGGATCCAGACTGCTAGGGCCGAAGGCAAGAATGAAGGCCTGGTCGAGGCTGGGGAGGCTGCTGCTGAAGCCGCCCGGGTTGCTGCTGAGGAGGCCGAGAGGGCGAAGGCCAAGGAGGTAGCCAAAGCTGAGAAGGCCGCAGTGGAGGCTTTCACCGCCGGGGGCTGGAGGGCAGAGGACAGGGAAGGCTGGGTGTCCTCGGTGTTGGAGGAGAAGGTTGACTCCTGGGTCAAAGGCCCTCGTAGAATGTGGCTGGCTGCGAAGGGTGATTCCTACTACCAGGGCGGAGATTTCTTCACCCAGCGCCTCATTTATCGGAAGCTGGCTCAGCATTTCTAGGTGTCTCTGGAGGATTTCAAGCCTGAAGCCTACGGCCTTCCCCTTAGGCAGCCAGATATCAGGATTCCCCTCCTTCCGGGTGAAGAAAGGCCGGTGCTCGAGGACTCTGAAACTATGAGGGCATGTGGCCTCGGCGATGACGAAGATGAGGCCGAAGGTAGTGCCAACTCCAAGGCTATTGAGGAGGATGCCACGAAATGATTTGTACTTAAAGATTTTTTTGGACGATGTTATGTATAAACTTTTTGTAGCTTTCGGCTGATGTAACAAACACCCTTGATCATACTCTTTCTTTTGATGAATGTACGCACGTCTTCGGGCATTTGATGCTTGTATTTTACTCTCTTCTTTGCTTATGTTGAATGAATGCCTTCGTTTTTTTTGTCTGCTTTCTTTTTCTTCGTGCATGAATGTATGTTCGCATGTGAATTGTCCGAGGGCCAATCAATAAGGACTTAGAAGATTTTTCGAAGTGTTGTTTACCACTTGGCCCTCGCTGCATGATCGATTGACCGAGGGCCAGTCAATTAAGACTTAGAAATTTTTTTGAAATGTTTGTTCAGCACTAGGCCCTCGGTTGATGCTTCCTTCTGAACTTGTGTAGCTGTCATGAGTTGACCGAGGCCAAAAATTTAGGACTTAGAAATTTTTTCTAAGTGTTGCTTACAACTTGGCCTTTGGTTGACATCTTCTTTCGTGTGCCCTGTGTTGTGTGAGTTGTAAGCCCTCCTTCGTTGGTGGCCGGGGGCCAATATCTTAGGACTTAGAAAATTTTCTTAAGTAATATTCACTGTTGGGCCCCCGGCTGATGTCTCCTTTTAACCCGTATGAATGTCATGTGCTGACCGAAGGCCTAAGATATAGGACTTAGACACTTTTCAAGTGGTGCTTTGCCACTAAGCCCTCGGTTGACACATCCCGCCAGCTGTATGAAGTAGCCGCCCCTGCCATGTCCCCGGGGGAACCGGTGTGTGGACTTAGCCAAATTTTGAGTGATGCCATGAATGTGCCCTCGGCTTGTAATAGTCAAGCAAAGTTTTCGTTAGCAAAGGATGGCGATACCGGGGGCCCTAAGTCATGGACTGAGAGAATCTTGTCTCGGGTCTGCAACCAGCGGCCTCCAGTGCTGACCGTGGTGCCTTCAATAACTCCAGGGAATGCAGTGGTGATAGCCAAACTTGGCCCATTCCTAGCGTAGGAGCCTCCGGTGATATTGGATTCCAAAGTGTGGACTTAGGAATTATCAAGTCCAATGTATTATAGCCGGTGCCCTCGTCCCCTGTTGATTTCTCGAAAGATGTACAATAGGTGCCTTCGGCTTTATCTTTCAAACTGTAGGCTTAGATGATCTCTGTTGGGCCGCGGGTATGCGGTGCCAGCAACAGCCAGCCTGCCGGTGCAATCGGACCGCGTGGCGCTTCGCTTGTGCTATAAAGGGGGAGGAGCGTGCTTCACTATCAGCGATTGCTTTTAGTGTAGCGGTAAGCGCAACGATCCACAAGTGGTATCAGAGCCAAGGTCACGGGTTCGACCCCCGGCAACAGCATGCTGCGCAGTTGTAGGCTGGCAGGTGCTGGGGGGAGATTGTTGGGCCGCGGGTATGCGGTGCCAGCAACAGCCAGCCTGCCGGTGCAATCGGACCGCGTGGCGCTTCGCTTGTGCTATAAAGGGGGAGGAGCGTGCTTCACTATCAGCGATTGCTTTTAGTGTAGCGGTAAGCGCAACGATCCACAATCTCAGTCTGAAACATGAGGGCAGGTGCCTTCGGTCTATGCTGACATGGAAGGTGTTGCATAGCGAGAGCCTCCAGAGTTAATCACCAAAGCGCAGGCTTTGGAAATTAAGTCCCATACACAGCGTTTGATGCCTCTGGTATATGTTGAAATGTCGGGGGCTGGCAGAATGTGGACTTGGCCATATTTTGGTAACACTTTGGTGAATAGTAGCCTTGAGAATAATGCCAACGTCAAAAGTGAAATTCAGGATTAAGAGCCCTCAGTGTGAGAGGGATTGCCTTCGTAATGACCTTTCTTGCAATCTGCCGAAGGGTAATCTACTCGTGGAGTGTTGAAACTTGTACTCATTGATCGCTCGTTGAGTATACTCCCCTTCACTCCTTTTTTTGATAGTGAAGGGAAAGCTTCAAGAAACTTGGTTTCTTGGTAAGGCTTGGCCTATCGGGAGGCAATGGTATACACCGTTGGCTCCCCCCTCGGGATTAACCTTCCGTGTTCCGAGGGGATCGAGGGTCGTTTCCTCGGCACGAGACGTGTCTGTTGCCTTCCTCCCCTTGGGGGATGGCACGGAAAGTGCCTCAGTTTTGAAAGTTGTTCTCTCAGCACGAGACATAGTCTGTTGCCTGCCATTCCCTTGGGGTAATGGCGCGGGAAGCGTTTCATTTTGAAAGTCAAATCCTGAGACATATTAGTTGTTTGCCATTCCCTTGGGGTAATGGTGCGGAAAGCGTTTCAGGGAAGGGTTTTATTTGCATATTAGTTGCAAAAGACCGTGGTACTTGGTACCTTCGGCACCGATAGGTGGGGCCTTCGGTATGATTGCGTCCTCGAGGGGTACGGCTTTATTTTTAACACTTGGTGTTATTTTTTGCATACAGTACCCCTGGTACTTGGTACCGAGGGGTCTTCCTTAAAAACACTTGGTGTTTTCTTTTGTTGTCGTAGTTGAGTTGAGGGTCCATCCTCGGCACTTGGTGCCGGGGGGTCTTGTGATAAGGTCTTGGGCCAGGAGCTTGCATGAGGGTTTGGTCGCTCGTGTGTGTTGTGTACTTTTGGTGTCTTCAACATGTGTTTATTCTTGAAAAATAGGAGGCCTTCAGCCATTGGATAAGTACATTCGTAAGCCATGAGGGCTTGCCCGCTCATATGTTACTGATATAATTTGACCAGGTGGTGTACATTCCAATGTCTAGGGACCTCCGTCCCATTGGGGCGCTTTAGTTTGTAAGTCCCTGGTTTTATGATGGCTGCGACGGTGTAGGGGCCTTCGAATTTTGGCGCCATCTTGCCGTCTTCGGTTGGTTGACTTGCTTCCCTTCTTCGGAGGATGTAGTCCCCCACCTGGAATTCTCTGGAACGGACCTTGGCGTCAATGTAGCCCTTTACTTGCCTTCGGTAGTTTTCAGCCCTTTGGAAGGCTTGCTCTCGGCGTTCTGAGATTAGGTGAAGGTCGAGGGCCATGTTGGCATCATTGACCTCAGGTTCGTATTGGTCCACCCTTCGGGTAGGAAGGGTTACCTCAGTTGGAGCTTTGGCCTCGAATCCGTAGCAAAGGGAGAAGGGCGTTTCGCCTGTTGCTCGCCGAGGGGCGTTTCGCCTGTTGGGGCGTAGTTAACCGCAGGCCTCCCGGAAGCCTTCTGAAAGTGCTGGCAGGCGGTACACCTTCGGGCGAGGTCTGCACAATCTCGGGTCATCGTGGGCCAAAAGTAACCCTGAACTATGAGTCTTCGGGACATGGAGAAGGGTCCCTGGTGAGCTGAGCAAGTGCCACTGTGCACTTCCTCCACTGCAACTTCGGCTTCGTCCTGATGAAGGCACCAAAGTAAGATGTCGTTGTAGGATCGTTTGTAAAGCTTCCCGTTTTCGATGGTGTAGCTGGGAGCTCTCAGCTTTGCCAGTTTTGTGCGGGTTTCATCCTTGGGAAGGTGCCCTGTAGAGATGAAGTTCATGATGTCTGAAATCTAGTCCTCAGGCCTTTGTTGTATGTTCATGACGGGGCTGGCATGTATGCTTGAGAGGCTGGGTTCCTCAATTCTTGCGATCTTCGAGAGGTGCTCCGGGGATTCGGCCGAGAGCTTTGATAAAATGTCGGCCTCGGAGTTTTGAGCCTTCGGTATTTGAGTGAGAGAGTGTGCCTCAAATACCTTAAGCAACTCCTTGGCCGCTTCCTTGTATTGTTTCATTCTTCCTTCCTTGGCCTCATACTCCCCTGAAATATGGCCGACGACCAACTTGGAGTCGCACTTCACATGAATCTGTCTGGCCTTCATGTTGGCTACCAGCCGAAGGCCACAGAGGAGGGCTTCATATTCCGCTTCGTTGTTGGAGACTTTGAAGGAGAAGCGGATGGCGTAATAGACGCGGAAGCCTTCGGGAGTAATGAGAACTACCCCTCCTCCGCATGCTCTGGAAGCAGAGGAGCCATCGGTATAGAGGGTCCATCATTCATCCGAGGATGCCGAGGGCTCCTCATCTACTGCTAATCTTGTCGTACACTCCGTCACAAAATCTGCTAGGGCTTGGCCCTTTATGACAGGCCTCGGACGGATATCAATGTTGTATTGGCTGAGGAAGATGGCCCATTTCACCATCCGGGAGGAGCTGGTGGGGCTCCTCATCAAAGCGCCGAGGGGTTGGTGCGTGAGGACCTGGACAGGGTGTGCCTGGAAATAATGGCCTAGCTTTTTAACAGTCCAAACAATTGCCATCACCGTCTCCTCCACGGGAGAATATCTGAGTTCCGCCTCCCTGAGGGTTTTGCTAACATAGAAGATGGCGTGCTGGATGCCATCCTCCTCCCGGATTAGCACTGATCTGATGGCAGCAGGGCTAACGCCAAGGTAAAGGTACAGAGTCTCCCCCACCTTGGGTTTGGAGA